ACCGCTGATGAGGATAACAAAATCTAGTAGACCGGGAACCTCTTCCTCTTCTCTGTCTCCCTAAGTCGGCGGTGACCTGCAAAATGACCCAAAAATAACCCAGACAGTTGATTTTAATTTTTCATTTATTTAAAATCTACTTCGACCTTTTTTCTTTTCTTTTCTTTTTTTTATATTCACAATACAAAATAAAAATTCAAAGCAATTAAACAAAAATTTCATTACAATTACAATAATAGCCCCCAAAACAATTCAAAATTACAGGGAAACCCTTCTGTAGGCGGGAACAGCGCCGGCGCGTGGGTTAACGCGCCGCCGCTGACAATGCTGGGAAACAGGTGGATCTGTTCTGTTTTCTTCTTCCTGTCCCTTCTCCACTGGCGGTGGGAAGCACCATTACCTGCAAAGAGGAAAAAAAAAAACAAAGGCAAGCTTCCGATTCTCTCCCTTTTTAGATCTACTATTTGTCTTCTCTTTTGGTTTTCTGTTCTTCCCTTCTCCAGGTGGCGACCGGCTCTGAGGTCAGGGCATCTTCTTCTCCTCTGCCTTGGTTGGCAGATCGAGCTGGTGAGAGGAGAGTGAGGGGGTTGTGTTGCTGTGATGGGAAGAGACGAGGAAGACGATGAGGCTGCTGGAGGCTCTGATTTGGTTTGGGCGAGCTAGCAAAGAAGAAGATCGGGTCTATGGCCGGTGGGAGGAGAGGAGAGATCCTCTTTTCTCTTGTTTTTTTGTCAAAATTACCTCTTTTTTTTTCTTTATGTTAAAGGTTGTTATTTATAGGTAAAATGTTGCTTGGATTTCAAAATTGGTCCCTCAATTTTATTTTTTTTGTAAATTTTGATTTTTTTATATTTTTTTTAAAACAAGCAATATCAACATCGATTCAATAAGAAAAATCAATGATTTTAAAAATAACGCGTTAAAAGTTGAACGCGTTCCAAATATCTTTGAAAATTTAAATTCTTTTGAGATGATGTTGAAAATGCTAAAAATGATGCAAATATATTTAAAAATATATTTTTTGGATTTTCATTATTTTTCTCTATTTTTTGGACTTTTCTAAAAATTTATCAGAATATGGATAAAAATTGGGGAATAACCCAGAATTGGGTTATGACAGGTTAAAACAGTTATTTTTGGTCAAAACCGAGTCCACTGAGTCAATATGGGTCTCATCATGTTGACCGGGATAAAAAAATGAGTTTCAGGCTACTTTTGGTTAAAAAACTGGTCCACCAAGTTGATACCCATATAAAGGTTTTTTTTAGTGTTCCAACATAATTGTCGGTAATTAAAATTAATGTTTAGCGGCTAAAAGGAGCCTTTTTCTAATACTAATTTGAGTTTTTAGTTTTTCACCTATAAATATTTATTATTATTATATATAATAAAACAAAAAAAATAATACATTTTTGTCACAGTACGCGGAGGATTTTTGCTGATAGTAGGCGGTGCAGCTGTAACATTGAAATTTTGCACATCACGAGATTTTATGTCCCTTCCTCGTTAGCTATAAATAGCCAGTGAAAATAAACCAGAGAGGAAGAAAAGAGAAAAAGAAAAAAAAGAAAAAAAGAAAAGATGAAAAAAGAAAAAAAAACGTATATATGTTTGTTACTATGTAGTTTACTATTCAATTTTTTTTTGTTTTTTTTTCACGCGAGTAAGATATTGATTTAAATTTTTTTTTGGAAAATACCAAAAACATCATAACCGTTAGATCTAATAGTGTTTAACTCCGACGAGTAAGATATTGATTTAAATTTTTTTTTTGGAAAATACCAAAAACATCCTAACCGTTAGATCTAATAGTGTTTAACTCCGAGCCTTTAATTTAATAGGATACAATAGGGCTTACCACACTGGATTAAAACCCAAATCCATCTCAGCCCTTAAAACAATCTGTCCTTCCATCATGTTGTGCCACATCATCAGGTGTACCAAACCCTCGGTGCACCGAGCCACACCAGATCAATGCTCAGCCCACCTGGATCGTCTGATCAACTTGAAGGATCAGTTCATCCGCGATCCAATAGTTCACAGCCTTCAGCGGTGCCAGTGCACCCTGCACACTTTCACACCATAACAACATCTCATAGCCTCTCTCTCCTCTCACCAGATATTCTCTCTCTCTCATTCGATCTTCCATTTCCAGCCGTTTGAAGCCTCTAAGCCACCACAGAAAGGTGAATCACCCCCTCTGAAGCAAAACCCTAGTCGTTGTACGCGTTTTTGCCGCCTCATCTAGCCAGAAAAAAGACAATGATTTTTATTGGCCACTCGAAGTTTCAAACCGACGATTCTCCCTCATCAGCCATCAATGGAAGTCGAAACCACCATCATCAGAATCCTCTCCCTCAAATCTACCAGAATCAACCATCTGTTTGTCGGAATCTTTTTGGGAAATTTCATCGCCTCCAACAGTACCCGCGCGTGAGCCACACGCGCCGCCCGGTGGATTTTTGTAATTTTTTGAGAAATTCAAGGGTGCTTAGTCTTTAACCTATACAAGGGCACTTAGGTAATTTTTTAGAGTTCCTTATGGTATTTTTTTATATAAATACTTGTAATTTTTTTTTTTGCATGTGAAAAAAACAACAAAAATAAATATAAAAGGAATAACGACGCAGGTTCATCCCTCATCTTATCATGTCATCGTTTGTAAGTTTAAAGACCAGTTCTCAATACCCATTTCTCAACAATATCAAAATAATTTTTGTTTTATAAATAAATATTATTGTCGACACGTCTCTTTTATTTACAGAAAAGGACCGATGTCAAAAATTTAAATACCAAATATGAATTATGGGCATTATTATTTCTTGTGGTAATTCAGACGTAATTCTCCTTTTTAGGGACAAACATCAGTATTTTAGATAAGTCTCCTAGTTTTAGGGACTAATGTCATTTTTAACATGTCTTCTATTTTTAGGGACCGACGTTAACCATCTTAAAAAAATTGCAAATAAGTTCAAAATATAATAGCATTTAAATCAAATAAAAAACACACAGGTAAGGGTAATAACCTTTCTCTTAAAGGATGTTTTAAGGGTGGTGTCTACCTTCCCTTAATTATAATTAACCTAGTACCTGAATCTCTGGTACTAATGTCTAATTTTGGATTTCTAATTCCCTCAAATTACTAGATAGCGACTTCAATAAAATTTTTATTTCCTCCAATTAAGAAAAATCTATTCTTTTTGTTAACTAAACAAAAAAGAGTGGAGTCGTCGTCCGACATCATATAGCGATAATAGATTCTAAAATTACATCTTTTTATCTTTATTTTTCCAATCTTTTCATTTAATCTTTTCCAAATTGAAAGTGCAAGAAGCTTAGGTTATTCCATTTGAGGTTTCCTTCTTATCTTGCTTCAACATCTCAAAATAATAAGTAGGAGAGTGAGGTTACTCTTACATATGATTTTTAGACAAGAGTTGGGGAAGGTTTTGGTAGTTTCCCTCCTTTCCCTCTTGATTTTTCTCTCTTTCTACTGTTGTTCTAGCTGGCCCTTTACCTTATTCCTTTCTTCATGTTTATGTTCTTTTTTCACTCTTCAACTCCTTTCTCACTCAAATATTCAAAAGGGGTTACATATAAGGATGGCTTGGATAAGAGTTTCTTTGCAAGAGGGGGGTTATTATAGCTAGGGTTGTTGCTAGTTTGGGGGAGAGGAAAAGTAATTTCTTTTTACTCTCCATGCATTTATACCCCTTCTTAAATGTGGTGGGTTATTTAAATGTCAGGTGTTCTTATCCTAGTGGCCTTTTTTGGTTATCCCTAAATAGGTTCTCTCATGTTTCCCTTTTAGTATTAATCAATCTATTTTTCTCTCTTTCTTTTTAGTGGTGTTTTACATATTAGAACTTAACCAAAATTAACAAACCTGCTAGTTTGATATATTCAAATTTTCAAAATAATAAAACTCTCAAACCTATCTTTGTAAATAAAAAAAATATTTTTTTACCCTTATTTGAGGTCAATAGACTCATATTGAACTACTACCTTAAAAAAAAAAACACTTCCTAGATTTTCAACAAAAAAATATTTTTTTATCAAAAGTGTTTTTTTCTTTCTCAATTTGTACTCATGAATCACAAAACTAGAGTCCAAAATATTTATATTCATCAATGTCAAAATTAAGAATATACTAACACCAAAGTTAGGAGTATTAGCATTAAAATTAAAATTTTAGCTAAATTTTCATTAACATCAAAATTAGAAATATTCATATTTACTAATATCAAAATTAGAAATACTTTCATTATTTACTAACGTTAAAGTTATGATTATTAAACACTAAAATTAGAAATTATTTTGAACCTCAATTTTCATTAATATCAAAGTCAGAAATACCATACATTTTTATCATGTAATATTTACCAACACTAGAATTGAAAGTATTTGTAATTGAATATTTACTGATGCTAGAGTCAACAACATTACAAGCAGATCATCAATAATATAATATAATAAATTCTTAGCAATTTAAAACAAAACTAGTAATGCAATTTATTTCAAGTAAAACTCTTAAGGTGTTGTAGTATCTTTTTTTTTTTTGTATAATTAATCTTATACTATAAAACTTCTATTTATCAATTAAAAGTTTTAATAATTATAATATTAGGTTGTAACTTCAAACCTTTTTTCTAGAAATAAAATGTTAAATATTTACTTTAAAAAAAAATTAAAGGTAGTCTAATATCATGCGGGAAAGTTGTCATTAAATTCACATTCAAAGAAACAACATAACGGGGTGCTTGGCTCTCCATGTTCCTTCCGGATCAGATTCTACGCAAAATTGGCAAAAAAAAAAATCATTTTCAAAATCTATTATGACATTAAAAATTAGAGCTTTTATTCTTCAACTGATGAACACGCCTGTAAACAACGAGCACAAATATTTTGCTCATGGTTTTTTATGTGGAATTTAGCGACTTGCATGGCTTTAATATTTAGTTTAGTTAATTCACTTAAACAATTAAGGACGTAACGTCCTTTTATTCCATGCTTAAACTGATCTCATTATTTGATGAAGTTTGACCAGTCCCTTGATTATCACTTTGTGCTGGCGAACATCCTGGAAGTGCCCCAATTCCCTGTTGTGGAGTTGATGCAGTTGAACGAGATCTCAACAGCTCAAGCTCTTGATCCTTTTCTGCTAAGATCTTTCTAAGTTCTTTCACCTCTCGATCTTTATCCACTACAATCGTTTTAAGTTCGTTCATCTCCTTCAAAATAGCAATGTTGGAACTCAATATGAGTAATTAATTTATACAAATTATTACTATTATTTAAAAAATAGAAATTAGGAGTCTCGTGAATTTCAGTTTAATTTTTCATTTCAATATGTAAAGGAAGTTTGAATAATTTCCTGATACTAATTTATTATTCACGGTCTCTTACAAATAATAAAAAAACATTTTCTAATTAATTTTAGAAAAATTTTCTATAATCGTGGCCTCATCATTTAAGGACTTGGCAAATCATTCATGCATTTTTGTAGAAGACAGTGTCTATATAAGAATTGGTTTGCAGGAACAGATAGCAAGAAAGGAAATCAGTATCATACCTTGTCGGAACTTGAAACTGACGTATCTGCATTACCTCTGAAATATTTGTCTTTGGCCTGGAGATATTCTTCTCTCTCCTCCTTTTTTGGTGTTGAAAATTGCGTGAAAAAAAAAATTGCATGAAACATCATTCAATTTGTTGTCGGAAATTCAAATAGTCATCGGTTAACAAAAACATATATCTAATATTAATAATTTATTCCATCATTTTTAGACACAAAGGCATCAATATTGACTGGACTCATTAACAGTACGTGGAACATGTGTGATGATGGATTGGGCTATAGCATAAAAAATGTTGGGATTAGTTTTTGACAAACATGTGGTGGGATTTTATATTTGGAATTAAAATTATGTTAGATTTTGTTATTTAATATAATTATTAATATATTCTTAAAATTTAATTAAAAATAAACAAAAACATATTTATAACGAAAATTCCAAGCTCATATGACTGTAGATTTGATAGTAAACTCATGGATTAATGAGTTTGAGTTTAGGTTTGGTTAGTAAAAAATACTCTGTTATCAAATCTTTGTTTAATTAATAATTTTTTTTATTTTTAAAAACATCTTAATATTAATTATATGATGATGAATTTATTTATGAATTATGAACTATCAGCATTTTAAAATTATAAAAATTTATCAGAATTAATAAATACTCATAAATTATTAATGATTCATGAATTATAATTATTTATCATAACTAATAAAGATTCATAATAAATTATAAGTATCTAATGTTTTGGTTCCAATTCCTATAAATAGGTGTATTAAATGTGTTAAGAAATTTTTTGAGTTCTTCTCTCTTTGTTGTTTGTTTTTCTAACTTGTTAGTCTATTCATTTTTTTTATAATTTATATTCAATCTTTGTACAAGGATATTGATTATAGTTTATTTCAGTTAATTGAGACTCGTTTAGGAATACATCTAAACAAGAAATTGTTGGAATCTTAAGAGAAAAAGTTGTTGGGATTTTAAGAGAATTGTTGTAGTTTTTTTGCAACAAGTAAAAAGAAATAAAACTTTAAAGATATGATTAATAATTGAAAGCAACTAAAATTTTAGTTTAGATATTTTCTAAAGAATTCAACAAATAAATAGTACTCTAAACTACTTTTATTTAAATATAATTTCAATATTTGTTTAATTATATTTGTTTAATTAGCATGCTAAAATAGTTTTTTTTTAATATCTTTTGCATGTTTATCTTTTTGTAATGATAGCTAGATTATCATGCCTTTATATATTTGCCCGATTATAAACTAAATAAAAATATCCACTTGTATAATCTAATAAATTTGAGATTTTTGAACATCAAACAAAACTTTGGTACAGTGCCTATCCACTAAAAAAAACGAGATTCTTTGTCTAATTACATAATAACATATGACATTTAGCAAGTTATTAAAATGATCTATTATTTTCCTTTTCTCCTCAAGCATTGAAGCCCGAATTAATTGGGATTGATATGATATGATATGATTTAAAGTTAGAAACTTGATTTGGCAGCATATAAAAAAGTAGAGTCTCACCGAAAGTGGAGGAACTATACAACGATGTTGAATATCAAAGTTAAGAGAATCTTTTTGTTTCAGAAATAGAGAATAATTGATATGAATATAAATGAAGAAAATGAAATGAGAACATTCAAGTGGAATTGCCAAAATAATGAATTAAGCAAACATGTACAAATAAAAATAATCTGGTTTATTATTTTATCTTGAGACCAAAACATGTGGTATCTATCTAGCAATGTACTTGAGAAAGATTTTTGATATTCTTACCAGCGGCAATATCTGAAGATCCGCTTGATGGACTTGGTAGTAATCAAATTGCGAGAATTCATACTGTTCGCTCAATCCAAGATGTAGCATAAGAAAGCAGACATGAGTGAGTAACTCTCCACCTCTTCTCAGTTCTTGGGCGTGTTCTTTCCATGGACAATGAGCTGCTGCATAAGCAAGCATTTCTATCCAAACTTCACTTATCATCTTCCATCGCTTCTCAAATTCCAATGACCGCAATTGCTTGGTGAGACAAACCCCACCATTTAACACTGACTTAGCTATTTTCCATTGTCTTTGAAACTGCATATCATCAATACCATCGAATTTGTTATCAAGCAAAATTTGATCAGCAAAATCCTTCTTACTCATTGCCTTGTTGCCTCTTATAACACGAGATTTAAGACCCCGCAAGTCTTCCAAAGTATCTAGATATCCCTCATCACTGGTTCCTTTAGATAGCATATTTGGTCTCATCACCAAAAGATACAGCATGTATTCAGATAAATATCTGCTTGTTTCATATTCTGAGAAGGTATTATTTGCATTTTTTTCAACACGATAACAAATATCTGTTGCGAGATGCCAAACAAGAATGCTCCGACTGAAATCCACTTCTGTCGTGCACCACTTGAACTGTAGTAATAGTCCCTCTCTTTCTAGAACACCATCTCCTCTCTGACTAATTACTTTACTTCTGAAATTTTTATCAATCAAATTAAAACTTTCCTTAATCTTCTCACATTTCTTTTGAAGGTGTCCAAAAATACAACGTCGGAGCCCGACATTCATATCTTCTCGATTCACATACATCTGCCTCATCATTACATCGATTCCCAGCAATTCCAAACATTTGTGTGGCTTCTTTTCAAAGCAAGTGCTGATCAGGTTATGCTTTGCTATGGATCTCGACCACCTCTCGCTTCTAGTTAACTTCCTTATCAAAGAATAAATTGTACTACTTATGGCATTCCCTCCATCATCAATCAACCAAATCATTGTCCAGTCAGAGAGAACAAGACATAAAAAGGCATAAAACTCGAGAAAAACAGCGGCCACGAACAATAAATACGTAATTGCAATGTCGATCGTTGAGTATGCATGTCTGTCAACCGTGACATGGAAGCTAACAAACGCAGTAGAAGAGAGCAGAAAGCTGATAGAGCGAAGAATGATTCCGACAAGGGAGTAAACCAAGGGTGCTTTAGTATAAAGCATATCATATATTAATCCAAGCTCAACCTCTACCACCTTGAAGGCATCGTCTGCTAAATTTTTGGAAATCAGCAACTGGCTGTTCATTAGTGCCGGAATGCCAGGAACAAGATCCTGCAACATAAACATAGATATATCTAAAAAAGTATAAGCTTGAAGAAGATAATTTCCCTTGAGAGCTTGTTGAAAAGTTTTTGATGATTCCCTTAATGGATAAAAAGGCCGAAATTTTGAGAGAATGGAGTTTCTCAAGCCATCGGAGCTTGAAGACCTGAGCACCCAAGTCCTTTCTGCGTACTTTATAATGCCAACAATGAACATTGGGATTGCTATAAATGTGAGGATACGGCTACCCCAAGACCTTGAGAAGACATAAAAAGCCACTCCAACTTGAGATACAAGACCAAGTAATTGCCTTAACCACAACTCGTTATCTTCAATCGAGTATGCAGTGATTGTGTCTGGGCCACCAAGGTGCAGGAGTAGAAAAGGTGCCCAAAATTCCTGGATAGAATTGTTTGCTTTCTTTGAACCGTCACATGATGAATCTCCTTGGCTCCTTGCTAGATTACCTAGTGCAACAGTTGCCACCATGTCTGCTGATAGATATGCAGACCAAACGAGAATCCTGATCCAGCTACTTGCAATGGTCTTTCGTCGAGAACCAAATATGATAAGGATGGTTTGTAGTAGGAGACTAAACAAAACCATCCCTCGAATCTCCCATTTGTTCCACAAATTTAACACTTCTTCAGGCAATTTTTTTAGCATTGTATCTTATCCTCAGCAGTGGAAACTAGTTCTCTCGATGAACCCCTGAAGAAACTGTTTTGTAAGATGAAAAGTACTGAAAGTGGATATTTCGATATATCTGAAAAAAATCTCTTAAAAGGGATAGTGAAATGATTCTTACGAGAAAAGAATTCTGCACTAGATTTTGGGTAAGGTGTCATAAAATAGGAGATGCTGCATATTGTTGTTACAGCAAGCAAAGAAAAGGTATGGAATGCATTACAAATTAATGTATGGAAGTGAGTTCTAGGATATATCTCCTTTAAGAGCTTGCTTGGCCAGCTTTTACAAACCATAGTTACATGTACAAGTAAGAATTTGGTACTTGGCTTGGGTACAAAGCAATGAAGAGATGATAAATAGTAAAAAAAGAGACTTTAAATTAGTTGCCTATTCTCCTTTTCTTTCCCTTGTAGACAATAGACATAGCTTTTGGGACACTTAAAGAAGGAATTCTGAATATCAATATGATGTTTGAGCACTGAAATCCCCGGCCCAAGGTTTGAATATGAGACTACGTACCATTTACTGCTAATGAGTTTCTGCCTTGCATTAGTGGAATTTTGCATTTTAACCTAATCAGCGATTGTCAACCTCTCAATGAATAAAACAATGAGTTTACCCAATATCTTTTCATTCTCAAGAGATTCTAGCTAGATAGGCAACGGCTTTGCTGCTTTGCACATTTTTAGCGGGTGAGTGAAAATATTCTTATGAGAAATTACTTCAGCAGTGGATTGTAGTTGAGGTATCAAGAAAAAAAAAGAATCGCTGCATAATGTTGTTACAAGCAAAAAGAAGGTACGGGTTGCAATGCCATAAAATAGAAAGATGAAACTTCCAAGATGTATTTGCCTATAATTCTAAAGCTCCTGCAATCAGCCTTTGCAAATCAACATATGTGACTAAAAATCTTAAAATTAGGTTGCTTTGATACAGAGAAAGCAAGAGATGCTAAATATTAAAGAGATATTCAGCTTGCAAGGAATAAAAGATATAAATTAGTTTTATTTTTATTTTCTCGGTGGACAGAGTTTGGTTTCCTTTTCTTGAACACTTAAAGGGGCATTGGGGTTGGGCACAAAACAAAGAAGAGATGCTAAATAATAAAGAATGCAGATTGCAAAGACTAAGAAACTTTAAATTAATTGCATTTTCTTTTCTTCATACACAGAGTCGCTTTCTGTTTTAGAGAAGGAACACTGAACATCAATGCAGTGAGTAGAATCTTTTGACTTCATTTCTCGGAATATGATGTTTGAGCACTGAACTCCCGAAAGGTTTGAATCTGTAGCTCACATTTACCCTTGGATTGGTGTATTCTCAATACTGCAACCTCAAAACAGAGAAAATGTACCTGATGATGTGTAAGACTACTCTCGAACCTCAATGCGACTACTAGCAATTCAATCCAGAAAACTACTGCAGGATATGAAGTCCCTGATACATGGACAATGGAATCATCAAAGTATTTCTTAAAAACATTTTCAAAACTATTCAACTCAATAGGTACATTGAAAATTTTGTATGAGTCCACCTGGACCTAATCCCTCATAAATTTGCTCTTAAACTATATCCAAAAAACTTCATACCAATAGAGATATTTATTTATCCTTATATACCCATGATCTTTTCTATTTCTAACCAATATAGGACTTTGATCGCATACCCAACAATCCTCTCCTTGAACAAAGGACCATCGAGTCTCTCTTCAAACGATCATTTATCCATCCACTCTCTACCAACTAGGATTCTTTATGTTCTACTTCATCGTGTTGGAATCAGGACACATTCATGAAGCATTCAAAGAGCACTACCTAACTTGAGAGTTTGCTCTTTCTAGGTCAACTTATCTTCACCGTGTTGGGGTCAGGACACGTCCATAAAGTATCTAGAGCACACCGCTTATCCAATAGAGCTGATCCATGATCGTGATCTAATTAGGCCCACCATCTTTTGTTTGGCATTCTGAGAATTCATTTATCATGACTAACTCTAGGGCATGACTTTGATACCACTTATAAGGACTATGAACACCACCTATCTCTATAATGGTATGATATTGTTCACTTTGGGTCTAAGCGCTCATGAATTTACTTTTGGACTATACCTAGAAGGCCTCATCCCAATGAAGATATTTGTTCATCCTTGTATATCCATGATCTTCCTCATTTCTAATCAATATGAAACTTTGATCACATGCCCAACACTTTATACTCAAACTCTCGATGTTGTACCTGGTTTTTAATATTTTTCTCTTGCTCTTTAGTTTGTTGTATTAAAAATTATACTTGGCATCCTTAAAATTCATTCTATTAATCAATTATTTAACATGTATGCAATCTATTAAATTGTTTAGTTATTGCAAATGATTTCTATATTTAATTATTTAAAATTGGAGGCTCGTGAACTTCAGTTTCATTTTCACCTCAGTATGCAGAGGTAACATGACTAATTCTGCTATATTTGATTAATTTTTGTTGGAAGAAGTACGAAAATTCGAGTGTAACAGTTTTATAAAAAAAAATGCATGCATGGTGTATAGTTTTTAAAAAAGCACAATTAAAAATATATCGAGATATAAAATATGCGGTGGATTTATAAATTTAATCATTAGATTACAAGATAAATTAGTGAAAATAAAAGAAACACTCATTAATAACACTACAATATTCAATCAATATGACTTTGAGCGTGGTAATTCTTCTACAATGAAAAGAAAAGGAAAAGGTCTCAAATTAGACTCCTAATCATATGGTGGGTTTCAAATGAATGCTCTAGGAAAAAAAATTCAATTGGATCCTTGATTTTAAAAAGGTTGTAAATTTTATCCTTTCATCTCCGAAATTAGAAAAATATTTGAATGAAAAACATCATGTTTCCTCCACATTAACGATATCGTTTTCATTGCATAGAATGTGCGTTCTTGATGAAATCTATTAGAATTAGAAAATGTGGATGGAAGAACTCAATTGTGAAGTTTTTAACCTTTGGAGATCCAATTTCTTGAAGATAAATTTAATTGAGATATGGCTTACAATTTTGATATTTATTTAGCCTAGTCGCTATGAGTTGGCTTCCACAATTCAAGAAGAAGAAGAAGAGAGTGTTGCTGGACTGTAAATTAATTAATGATGATGTGGATAATTTAAACAAACAGTGTTTAAAAGAGAGTCTTTCAAGCATTGTTCATGTCTTCGTAACATCTTAATTTTGAGAGATTGATTGGGTGATTAAGGAGGTTTTTATTATTTTAAAGCATGTGTGACCAACTTTGCAAATCATTATTACATAAGATATGGTAGTTGGCTAGGATACAAAGCAAAATAAGAGAAGGTTGTAAGAATGAAGAAACTTTAAATTAGTTACCTTTTCATTTCCTAAAGGACAAAGATTGCCTTCTTTTTTGGGAAACTTTAACTTTAAGGTTTTTTTTTTGGTACCAAGCAAAGAAGAGATGCTAAATAGTCAAAAGATGCAGTTTGCAAGATTGAATTGGCTATCCTTTTTCTTAATGGCAGAGTTTTCTTTCTTTCTTCGAACACTTGAAAGAAGGAAAACTGAACATCATTAAGGTAAGTAGTACTTTCTGCCTGAATTTCTAGTAGTACGATGCTTGAACATTGAATTCCCGAAAGGCTTGAAAATCATGTAAAATTATTCTGGAAATCTTATTTATAGTTTTGGTTAAGATGGTTCTTCTATATTCTTATCAATAATATTAAATTTGTTTTTAATAATTCAATAAGTATACTAACAAAGCTTTTATTGAAAGACTCAAAAATTTCGCTTTCGAGCTATGACCCAATATTATAGTCATTTCCCAACTTCTGATCAATTCTATGGTAAATGCATACAGCTTCCAGTAAAATTAATTTTTTTTTCTTTTGAACATGATTCTTTTTGGTAATTTGCTTTGGTTTCTTCAAAGGAATTTTGTGAGGTTTGATTTTCTTTGAAGGATTTTTCTTAAAAAGATATTTTTCGAACGTTAAGGGATTTTAGGTCTGAGTGTGAGATATTTTATTGGAAGGTTATTTCCTTGAGAGGATTTATTAAATATTACACTATTATTGTTCTGGGTTAAATGGTATCAAGAATTGGAATCTATTTCAAAAGAATTCACTAATTGGTATAAACACACTCATTAGTCTGGTGGCCGACGAGTCTCCTCTCATTCTACTGAAAAAACCAAACGGGATGTGATCTTCTGTTTCAATCGCTGAACATGACCACCCAGGAAAAATAGCGAAAAGACTCTTATGAGAAAAGAATTCTGCAGTAGATTCTGGGTAAGGTATCATAAAATAGGAGTTGCTGCTTATTGTTGTTGCAGCATGCAAAGAAAAAGGTACATTACAAATTAATATATGGAAATGGAAATGGAAATGAATTATGGGATATATCTTCTTTAACTTAAAGCTTGGATTACCAGCTTTTGCAAACCATAGGTACATGTACAAGTAAGAATTTGGTACCTGTCATGGGTACAAAGCAACGAAGAGATGCTAAATAGTAATAAAGAGATGCTGCAAGAATGAATAGACTTCAAATTAGTTGCTTTCCCCCCTTTTTCTTTTCTTGATAGACAATAGTCATCGCTTTCTGGACACTCAAAGAAGGAATTCTGAATATCAATATGGTGAGTTAGAGCACTAAACTTCCCAAAGGTTTGAGCATGTGACTACCATTTACTACTAATAAGTTTCTGCCTTGCACTAGTGGAATTTTGCATCTTCAAAACACAAAAATTTCATAAATTTGGATAGATAACCTATTGAACGATAGTCATCCTCTCGATGACTGGGCCTGCAGTCCAGTTTAAGATCTTCTCACCTGACTTCAGGTAAACACTTCTATCATGAGGCAATTTTCGAGCAAGTCCATTCAAAACTTGATGGAAAGCATCCCCTGCTTGA